TGAATTGTTTCCTTTATTCGTTTCAGGTCGTTCTTTCATGTGTGACTGACAGATACTGTAAATCAGAAAACTGTCAACGCGAAGCAACGTTAGCAGATTCCATCAAGAAACCCATAATTCCCTTGTTACTAGAGCCCATTCCCTGGCCGCCAGCAGGACAGCTTGGCCTGATTTTTGCCAAACTCCTGTACATTGACATGACACAGGGATACCAAGCAAAAATGGATGAATTAGTTCGAAAGATTAAAGTACACACGTCGAMATAGTTTTAATGGTTTTTAGAATAATTAGTACCCACTCGTCAGGCGTCTGCCAATAGTTAAATGTGATAATRAATTTTATTAGTCTGTTAGGATATTGAACATATCCATGCATGCGATCAACGTGRTGGTGTGCGGGCGCATTTTGGTAAATTAATAGCTTTTTTAACGTACTTGGGTCTGTTGTATGAACCGTKATTATCGGACAGATCCTTATGCAGGATAACGTTAGACAACTTAATCTCATCCTTCATGCAACAGGCCACTGGATGTGTTTCAATTAATTGATTAAGTCATCTTATAAGATTATATATATTGATGTAAATGACTACATTGGTGAACAAAAAAGGACAAAAAAAACAATAAAATAGCATACTAGTTATGACTTCTCGGCTCCTTTGACCAAAGTTTTACCGCGTGTTGACACGCCCGCATTGCAGAGTATAAMATATAGTCTTCGAAACTAAACCCAATGAACCTCGTTCTTATCAATGCCTTCGTTTGGGGTCTGAAGCATGATGGGAAAWTTAAGAATTGTCAAAATATGAAGATGACTTGAGATCACGTAAAAGGTTCGATGATTGGACCTACCGTTGCCCCTGCACGCAAATACTGTAAGTATAATAGACKCTCTTAGAGCGTTAGGTCGGGCTCGCTATTTTGGAAAATTGAGAAAGATAGGATATTACGCCTGGCTCGATTTCTAGGGTTTTGACGCCGTTGCGCCAAGCCGTCAGAAAAGAATATCGCGGCGGCGTATGAATAAACAATTAAAATTTTGTACATAAATACAGTACATAAACTGTACATAAATTAATTAATGAAAAAGCTAKTGAAGGCTAGTAACGCATTCTTGCTTTCACAAATGTATTAGAAGTAAAATATTAACGGCATAATTTACTTTCACATATAATCATATGATAGAATATTAAATCATAATCTTATCGTGTTTAAAACCTTTCTCTTTCTGCCTGTAATATCCTGTCTTTTTCAATAGTCTCCTTCACGGTTACCTGCGCCATCTTAAAAGGTAGCTTGCCCGACTTCACGCTCAAAGAGCGTCTACTTAGGCACAATTTTTACAGCGTTGGATAACTGTATATTTCACCCCGAAAGAAAGAAAAGGCCAGAAATATAAAGAGAGAAAAGTATTAAAATATGAGAAACATCTATCTATTGGGTTACCTGTGATGAGGGAATATTTAGTTTAATTGTTCGCACAGTAGTTCCCCAAGATGATCAAAAAATAGGCAGTCGAGGTCTGCATGTAATAAGAGATTTAGTAAACTTCGAATACACTATCTTCAATATATAACGTTTTCTGAATTATCTATATACGCTGCAAGGAACTGGAAGCATCACGTGGCGATCAACCATTGCGTTGCCAATTACACAACAGGCGGCGATTCCCAGGGGCCAAGGAACCTATTGTGATGGTTGATCATTCCTCCCGTGGCGGGGGCCTGACGCGGGGCGCCCTTTTTCCCTGCCTACAGTAAACATATCCATCCGAAAGATTCGGAAAAGGAATTTTTATCCACGACATGGAGCGGTCCTTAGAGCTCTAGTTTAGCTGTAATCCCAGACATCTTTCTGTATCTGTTGACTTATAAACTCATGATTAATTCTCGAACGTTTGTTTAGATAAAATGTTTTTATTTTCTACACTGTATTTTTACATCCACGTTTTAAAATTACTATCATTCGCCTCATTATAGTTTTGCAATAAAACCGAAAGCTTGCTAAGTCTTCTCT